AAAAATGAAAGGGGAGGAAATTACAAACAAATAGAAGAAGAGACCCTGGCTTCAGCGTGAAGGGCCCGCTGAGTGCCGAAAAGCGCGAACCCCACCCTTAGACCCCTCCAGAAGAAGTCAGAACACCAAGGAAAAGGATCTGAAAGCTTCCAGGGAGAAAAGGCAAGCAGCCAACAAACCCTGCTCTTAAGTGACCGGATGCAGAAAGCCATGGTGACCCTGCCCTCAGAGTCCCCGAGAACGTAAATTACTTAGGAACAGAAGCACTCCAGACAGCACCACCCAGAGCAAGGACACAGCCAAAGCACACACACCAAGGACTCAGGCGTCCTTTTCAAGGAGGTCGCACGAGGGTGTGCTCCGGCAAAACAAGACAGGAGACCAAGAAACGAGCAGCTCAGGGTCCAAGAAACAGAGACTCCAATCCAGGGGACATGGCAAGCAGCTGCCAGAGGCCACTTCTGAAGATGCCATCAAGGGAGAAAACCCCGTTCAAGAAAATGAAAAGGCTGGGCACAGTGGCTCATGCCTACAATCCCAGCACTTTGGGGGGCCGAAGCGGGAGGACTGCCTGAGCCCAGGAGTTCAAGGCCAGCCTGCACAACACGGCAAAACCCCATCTCTACAAAAATTAGGAGGATCACTTGAACCCAGGAGGTCAAGGCTGCAGTGAGCTGTGATTGCATCACTGCACTCCAACCTGGGTGAGAGAGTGAGACCCTGTCTCCAAAATAAAATAAAATAAAGATAACCAAGAGCTGGAGAAAATAAAACACCAACCAAGAACACCCCACCTAAGTACAGAGCTGCTGCAAAGGGTGTAGGGCCGTAGGCATGCTCCTCTGGTCTGGGCCCGGCCCCTGCAGCCACCATGTGTCCTAGGGCTGCAGCCCTCCCAGGCCCCAAGGACCTGCAGCCATAGTGGGGCCTTGGCCCCAGAAGCAGGAGGACAGTGACACCAAGCAATGGAGTGTGGCCCTGCCCAAGCCCCACAGCAGCCCCTCAGGAACCTGGGCAGCCCCAGCCCGTGGTCTTGACCATTGACAGCACAGCCCTGTCCCGCACCGTCCTGGCTTGAGCTGATGCCAGATGGAGAAGGAAACTGAGGCCTACCTGAGGGTTCCTGGCAGGGCTAAGGTGGGGGCAGGAACCCCTTGAAGGCACTCCTGGCACTACCAGCCTCAGGGATGGAGCCCTGCAGGAGCAGGAGCGGGCGGGGCCACACCCGTCCCTAGAGCTGCGTTTCAGGAGCCCCACAGGAGGCCCAGAGGGAATGGGGTGCCTGTCGTTCCTGAGCCAGGCTCAGGAGTTGGTAGGCTCTGAACAGGAGACACTGAGACCCAAGGACCTCCCCACCCCCGAGAGGCTGGCCAAAGCTCGCCCTGGACCCCACCAGGAAATGCAGTACCTGGGCTAGAACGCCGCTCAGCCGTAGAGGAACACTGCCTGCGCGCTTACTCGGCATGAGGCACCGTGCTGGCCCCCACGGGGGGTGGGGAAGTGGGGGGGCAATGGGGGTGGAGGGGAAGGGCGAGGGGACGGGCAGAAAGTGCCAAAGGAGCAACTGTCCTCCGAGTCCCCTGTCCTCTTCAAAAGCCACATGGGCTTTTCAGGAGCCTCAGTCTCCATACCTGGAAAATGGGACGACCACCGCCAGTGGGATCTGAACCCAGCGGTGCTGTCCCCATTGTTCGGGTGTGGAGTGGCGTCGGGTGGGGGTGTACGTGGGCTGCACGGTGCAGGCTGTGCCCCAGCAGTGCTCCGTCTTCTTCCCCAGCCCCGGAACTCTATGGTTCTGGAAACCCACATGCCGATCCAAAGGGTCGGGGCGATGGCAGGCACTGTGGCCAAGGCAGCATTTGAGGGGTTCTAAAACCTAACCTGGAGGTTGGGCAGAGAGTGCTCCAGAGGAGAAACCCTGGCAGGAACAAAGATAGGGACGAGGGACGAAGACTGTGTGTGTGTATCTGCATGCATGCACATGTGTGAGTGCATGCGTGCATGAGCATGTGTATGTGTGTGTGTGAATGTATGTATGGGGGAGTGGGCCTGTGTGCCTGAGCGTGTGTGTGCATGAGTGTGTGTGTGAATGCATGTCTGGGTATGTGAGTGTGCATGTGTGCCTGAGCATGTGTATGTGTTTGTGTGTGAATGTATGAGTGGGTGTGTGAGTATACATGTGTGCATGAGCATGTGTATGTGTGTGAATGTGTGTGGGGGGTGTCAGTGTGCACATGTGCGTGAGTATATGTGTGTGTGAATGTGTGTGGGTCTGAGTGTGCATGTGTGATGAGTATATGTGTGTGTGCGTAAATGTATGTGTGGGTATGTGAGTGCACGTGTGTATGAGCATGTGTGTCTATGTGTGAATGTATGTGTGGTGTGTCAGTGTGCATGTGTGCATGAGTATGCGTGTGTCTGTGTGAATGTATGTGTGGGTGTGTGAGTGCATGTATGCATAAGCATGTATGTGTATGTGTGTGTGAATGTATGTGTGGGTGTGTGTATGTGTGCACGAGTATGTGTGTGTTTGCATGAATGTATGTGTGGGTGTGTGTGCATGAGCATGTATGTGTGTGTATGTGTGTGAAGGTATGTATGCTGTGTCAGTGTGCATGAGTGTGCGTATGTGTAAATGCATGTGTGGTATGTCCGTGTGCATGTATGTGTGTGTCAGTGTACATGTGATTGTGTGCATGTGTGTATATGTATGTGTGCATGTGTCAGTGTGTGTGTGTACATGTGCATGTGCGTCAGTGTGTGTGCACGTGTATGTGCATATGTATGTGTGCGTGTGTCCAAGTGGATGCATGGGACTATGAGTGTATGTGGCCAGGTGACTGCTCTGGTCCCCCCAAGGGCACTGTGGGGAGGGGCGAGGAGAGGCGCAGGGATGCCTGGAGAGCCAGGCACTGGCCTGCCCTAGACCTCAGGGCATCCTGAAATCTGGCGGGGATGGCACGCAGGTGGGAGTCCCCGAAGACCGTCAGAATCCCCCGGCTCTGTGGCAGTCAGGGCTGGGCCTCCAGGGCCTGGGATTAGGAGATTAAACCCCGGGAGAGGAGGCTTTAGAGACGCAGCAGCCCCTCCTCCTCGGAGTCCGGCAACCCGAGCCCCACATCCACACATCCGGATCAATCTCCACACTGCGCCAGGCCTGCAGGAGGCTGAAGCCCGCAGCACGGGCTGGGGAGGAGCCCGAGGGTCAGGAGGCTCAGCTCCACGGGCTGCTGACCTTGACTGTGCCCTCTGCCCCGTAGCACCCCCATCTGCAGTTCACAGGCCAGGCCCAGCCAACTGTTCCCAGGGTTCTCGAGGCCCTGAGGGTGGGGGCACTGGGGCGGCAAGAGGCCACTCAGGCCGAGGGCCGGGATCCCAGTGGGACTCAGGAGCTAAAGAGCAAGCTGGCTTCGTGAGGTGGGACCGCTGTGCCCTGCCCTCATCCCCGCCCCAGGTGCCGTCAGGATGCAAGGCTCTGGGATCCCAATCCTTCCTCAGCGGGGTTGGGCCTGTGGCCCGAGGCCACCATCTAAGGTGCAGAACCGGGCAAGGACCCACGCTGCCTGCCTGTGTCCCTAGACACCCAGGCCACCCATGGACAGGTTCGGGGCAGGGTGCAGCCCAGCCCCCAGAGTTCTCAGAGATGCTCCTGGGCATGGCGGGGGCGACAGGCAGTGGGAGGTGACACATCAAGTCCCTTTGGCTACCCGCATTGAGGGGTGAGCCACGTCCTTAGGGCCTAAGAACACTGAATGTGGCAATGTCCCAGAAAGACCCCCAGACTCTGAAGGCAAACGTGCTCACCCTACCAATCACAGCCACTCAGTGACCCAGGCCCTCCCCTCTCCACCCGTGGTGGTGGCTCAGGTCCCTCTCAGATCACTGATAAGATGTGCACAGATGGTCTCAGGCCTGAGGGACTGGCCAGCTGGGCATGTGCAGGGCTCTGTCAATCGTAAGTGCCTAATGCTGGCAGTCCCTCCACAGACCCCAATTCTGTAGGACCAGGGCTCTATGACAATGTCTCCCTTCCTGGCCCCGCCCCACCCAGCTCACTCGCTTTGGCTGGCACTGACCAAATGGCCTGAAGAGACGTCCCCAGTCTCTCCAGGGACTTCTCCAGACGCTACGTAGCCGTCTCGCCCTCCACCCTCCACAAATCCCACAGGAGGACTGCCCTGCCCTACTCGCAAAGCACATGGTGGGCCCAAGGTCAGCAGTCACAACAGCAGTGAGGGCTGCGAGGCACAGGCTGGTGGCCATGGGGTGGCCTCTGTTTGAATCCCGGTCCAGCCAAGTACCATCCCCGGGCTTTGGGCAGAACTCCAGGCTCCTCCTGTCAGTGGCTGACTCGGCAGAGCCCCAGATGGGGCAGTCTGTGGGACATTCCAGGGGCAGCCCGGGCGGGGAGCAGGGCTGGGACACAGCAGACATCTTGCGGGCTCCACTGCGGGGGCCTCCCTGGGCCGGACCGGGAAACCTGCCTTGGCACCTGATTCCAGCCTCTCTCTGCCCCGTGGACCTCGCCGGGGGAGGACAGCTGCAGGGCTTCAGATCCGTCTGCAGCCCGGGGTGAAGCTGGTCATCTGGGCCCGCCTTGGGTCCAGCACCCTCCGGAGACTTCACCCCAGGTAAAGGCTGAGCTCCCCTGGCCCCACCCGGACGCCTCAGCCAGCGGCCTGCGGCCCTCCAGTCCAGAGGGTTCCTGGGTCTTCACTTCAACCACCTCATCACCCTAACAAGGAGCCCCTCTAAATAGAGGTGTGTGTTCAGCGCAAGGGCACAGCTGAGCTCTGGCCCGGGCCCGACCCACACCCTGCACCGCCAGCCCCGTCTCCACCAGGCTCCACACCTGCCCACTCCTGACTCCCCACTCCACAGCCCCGCTGAGGCCAACCACACCTGCAAAATGGCCGCCGCAGGTGCAGCCCCAACCCCCGTGGACCCCAGAGCTCCCCTTCAAACCCTCTGCTGCCTTCTCAGACCACGAGGTCGCTGGCATGGTTCCCGGCAGAGGCCTCGCCAGCCTGCGTGCCACCGCGTGTCCCGCAGAGCCCACCTCGGTGTCGCGCTGTGCGTCCCCAGGGTGAGGCCGGCACCAGCCTTGCGCGGCCGAGGCCTCTCCGCACCGCCTCCTCTCCGCAGCCGCAAGACCCAACCCTCTTGCCCTTTAGTGCCGGCAATGCGGGCACCCCTGGGAAAGGGCCGCCGCTTGGGGAGGGGTCCTCCAGTCTCTGGGGAAATGTCCCTATTCCTGGGGACGTGGGCGCGCATCGGGTCCGCGCCGGCGACGTCGCGCTCGCGCCAGCAGGCCCCATGACTTGGCATTCCCTCCTTCCCCTCCCCCCCCGCCCCTGCGGCCGGCAGCACCCCCCCAACCCCACCCACCCGCGCACAGGGTCTCGCGCCTGGCGCCCGGTGCCTGCGGACCCTCCCTCCCGGCGGGGACGCTGCCCCGGCCCTTCCCCAGCCGGGGGCTGTGCCCCGGGTTTGGGGGAAGTCGAAGTGAGGGGCGGCTTAAAGGGGAGTGCGAAGGTCTCCGCGGCCACTGTCCCCTCGCGTCACCCAAGCCCGGGCGCCGCCAGCTTGGACCCCGCAGCCCCTCCCCCGCCGCGGGCCACACCTGTTACCGGGCGCTGGCTGCTGAGACGCAGGCGGTGCGCGCCGGCGGCCCCTCCCGATGCTGGGTCTTTCTGGAAGGGAGCTGGGGTCTCCGGGGAGGGGACCCGGCGGGGGAGGGGGTGATGGGCAGCCCGGCGGTGCGACGAAGCGGGTGGCCGGGCCCCAGAGCCGCAGCCCCTGCCCCGCCCGCCTGTTTTGCTCCCGGCTCCAGCATCCGCTCTCCCCCACGCGGGGACCGGAGCAGCTGCCTGCGCCCGGCCGCCCTGCGCGCTCTCGGCCTCCCAGGTGCCGCGTCCGCGTCCTCAGCCCGGCTCTCCATCCCTGCCCGCCCCTCCCCCGCCGTCTGGGCGCAGCCCCGCCGACCGCTCCTCTCCAGGGGAGCGGGATCGCCGGGGAGGGGCGGGGGTCTCCGGATCCCGCGGGCCGGGCGCGCCCTCCCCAAGGCGATCCCCGCCCCCCTGAGCCCAGGGCCCGGCTGCAGCAGCGATCGCAGAAAGAGCCTTTCCGAGCGGCGCCTGGAGGGCGGACACCCCAGAATTTCGCCATTGTTCTCTGCGGGGATGGAGGGCGGTCTGGAAGGGAAGGAGCCTCGCGGTGCCCGCGCTTCGGGCCGCAACGAGGGCGCCGGCCGGAGCTCCCCGCCCCGGGCGCGGTGGATGCAGGTGAGGGCCGCGGGCGAGGCGAGGGGCGAGGGCGCGCGAGGCCCGGCGGCGGCGGCCTTACCTCTCCGGCGTCACCGGCGGCCGCCCCGCATGGGCACCGGCAGGGCGCGGGCTCCCGAGCCCGGAGCTGCTGCCGCTCGCCGGCTGCTCTGCGCTGTGACGGCGGCGCCGCGTGACGGGCTGCGCGCCCCCGGCCCGGCCCGCCCCGGGCCCCTCCCGAGGCGCTGGTTGGCTGCGCGCGGCGCCCGAGCTTCAGCCGCCAGCTGGTTTGTCGCGTGGGGAGAGGGACGGGCGACGCGGCCGCCGCGGGGACGGGGCTGGGGACGGAGGGGGCCGCGGCGTGACGTCACCGCTGACACCCCGGCGGGCCCCGCGGAGGGCGGGGGGCGGACACCGGCTCGGCTCGGACGCGGCGTCCCCGGTCCCGGCGCGCCCCTGAGACCTCGCGGGGGAGGGACCGGAGCGCCCCGTCCCGAAGCCCCGCGGAGCCCCCGCCGGGCTCCCCCGCCCCGGCCCCTTTGCAGTGAAATCGTACAACGTCCACCCGCCCCCGCCCGGAGCCCGCGACAGACGCATCGTGGGGGTGGGGGTGGGGGGTGGGGGGTGGGGGGCGGGCGGGGCGGGCGGGAGGGATGCCGGCTCCGGGTGTAACAGGTGCGCAGTGAAATCGCATCTCGCGTCGGGCCCGGGCGCCGGGGGAAGAGCCGCGGTGGCCGAGCCCCCTCCCGCCCGCGGGACGATGCAGCCCGCCGGACCCCCGCCCCCCTCGCGCCCCGCCTCCCCAGGCCCCCATTGTCCTCCCGCTGGCCTGTCCAGCTTAACTCCTCTGGACCCCCAGGTCACAGCCCCTCGGGGGCCACCCGGGCAAACCCCAGCCTGCGTCACCCGCCCCCAGCCGCGCCGCGATCGCGGTTCCAGGGCCTGACTGGCGTCTCCGTGCGCGCCACCGCCCTCCTCCACCGCCCCGGGGCTGGGCACCTTCCACAAAGCCTCTGGCGGCTCGTCCACGGGGACCTCCCCGCACTGCGGTGCGGGGGTGCACGGACCTCGGGCCACCCCGAACCTCAGGGCCGGGTCCCCCCCAGGCCAGCCCCTGCCATGGGCATCCTGGCTAAGCCTCCCTGGCGCCCAGCAGGGGCCTGCGCTGCCCTAGCGGCCCCTCCGTTAACCATTTCATCCACAGGCCAGGGAGAGCCGGCTTCACCTCAGTCCCCACGGCTGTAGGCCAGCGCCCTGCAGTAACAGCGGCAGGTGCACAGCCGCGGGCCCCCACTCCCGGCCCCAGCCCCGCCGAAACCAGCTAGGCAGCTCCTCCTCCTTCTCTATTTCCTGGAACCACTGGCGTGAGACAGAAATCAATTGTTCTCCGTAACGTGGTAGAAACAGTAAAACCATTCGGCCTTCTGGGGCCGGGGTCTTTATCACCTCGTCTTCCTCATGCTTTTTAGTCTGGCAAGTTCTGTATTTCTTGCGGCAATTGACATTTTTCTGGGAATTAATCTATTTCACATTAATATTTAAATGAGTAGCATATCTTTTTTTCTTACATCTCTAGTTTCTATGCTTGTTTCTTTATATTCTGACTTTTTTTTTTTTTTTTTAAGATAGGGTCTTGCTCTGTCTCCCAAGTTGGAGTGAGTGGTGCCATTTTGGCTCACTGCAGCCTCAGCCTCCCCAGCTCAATCGATCCTCCCACCTCAGCCTCCCTAGTAGCTGGAACTATAGGTGTGTAGCACCATGCGCAGCTAATTTTTGCATTTTCTGTAGAGACAGGACTTTGCCATGTTGCCCAGGCTGGTCTTAAACTCCTGAGCTCAAGCCGTCAACCTGCCTCCGCCTCCCAAAGTGCTGGGATGACGGGTGTGCACTTGGCCTGTATTTTGTTGTTTGCATTTTTCTCTTTTAATATTTTTAAATATTTCCAGAGGTCCAGCTTGCTTCTGTTAAACGTCTTTCCCGTGATTTCATTTGCTCCTGCCCTTCTGTCTTATTTCCTGCCTTTGTGGTTCTTTGGATTCCATCTGTCCCTCTGTCTTGAACTAAGTGCTTAGCTCCTTTGTAAACCTACTGATTTTCCAGTAGATCTACTGTTTGAAAAGCCACAAAACTCCTCCTACGGGGCTGCCTTGGCTGAATGTCACAAATTTGGACATAAAATGTTTTCATTATCATTCAGATCTAATATTTTCTACTGTCCCTGATGATCTCCTTTTAAACCCGGGGTTATTTAATGATGTTATTTACTTTTCAATGCCGTTTCTTTAATTATAACCTTTTGTTACCAGGTTCTAACTTAATTGCATTATTGTCAGAGAAGTCTGTATTCAGTCAAGGTGCTGGCAGGAAGCAGATGGCACACTCGGATTGGGTAATTTGAGAAGTGCTCGATAAAGAGACCATCAACAAAGGTGTGGGCAGGACTCAGAGAGCCCCAAGGGCTCAGTGGCACTGCAGCCTTACTGCCTGTGGGGAGTGGGGTGGGCAGAAGCAGAGGCTCAGGTGGGGGGTGCAGCCAGCCACAGTTTCCTAGAGAGAGGGCCAGGGCAGCAAACCCCGGACCTCACGCTCCCTCCGCCCCTGATCGGTAGGGCTTTGGCTGAGCCCAAGCGGAAGCTGGAGGGCAGGGGCACCGAAGGAGTAGGGTCCATTTAGGGCAGTCTCCCAAAGAATGGGCAAAGGGAACTCAGAAGCACAAACAGAAGCTAGCAATCCAGTCTGCACGGCCCTGTTTCTCCGGGATTCACGGAGGCGTCTTTAGTCCTAACACGTAGTCTTACTTCATACATGTTCTACGTGTGTTCAGAATGGTTGTATTCTCGGCTTGATGGCCAGAGAGTTCTGTATATTATGTAATAGTTCAAAATTATTAACTGTTGACTCAGTAAGATGAGATCCCAGAAAAAGTTTTTTAAGGTTACTAATTGCATTGATCAGGATTTGGAGATTTCTGCTAATTTTTGTCAGTGTGAACTATGACTATTATTTTTTAAAATCTCCAGTGAGCATAGTGGAAATATCTGCTTCTCCCAGCCATTCTGGCACGCGTTGCTTGCTGTGTATTGAGGCCCTATTTTTAGATACTGATGATTTTGATGGGCATGCGTTATCTTTCTGTGGCTCCTTGCACCCGGATGCATGTGTGCCCTTCCTTGTCTGGTGTTTGGAGTTTTTTTTAATTTTTGCCTTAAATTTGAATGTCATATGTTAACATGTCAATCCCGTTTTCTTTCACTCATATTTGCCTGCCATGTCTTTTGCCAATTTTTTTATTTTAAGCTTGTTGTATCTTTTTAAAGCATATCTCTTTTAGGCAACCTATTATTGAAATGTTTTAATCTAATCTGCTTCTGCCTCCGTTTGTTTGTTTGTTTGTTTGTTTGTTTGTTTAGACGGAGTTTCGCTCTTGTTACCCAGGCTGGAGTGCAATGGCGCGATCTCGGCTCACCGCAACCTCTGCCTCCTGGGTTCAGGCAATTCTCCTGCCTCAGCCTCCTGAGTAGCTGGGATTACAGGCACGCGCCACCATGCCCAGCTGATTTTTTGTATTTTTAGTAGAGACGGGGTTTCACCATGTTGACCAGGATGGTCTCGATCTCTTGACCTTGTGATCCACCCTCCTAGGCCTCCCAAAGTGCGGGGATTACAGGCGTGAGCCACCGCGCCCGGCCCTATTTCTGCCGCTTAATTGGAATTTAAGCCACTTACATTTATAGCAATTACTGTTACATCAAGACTAAGCTTTTCTGCCTGGTCCCTGACTGCTCCTCATCAAACAAAGTCAGAGATGCCAGTGCTGGCCCCTCCGTCCACTGCAAGACCCCGGCAATGGAGAGCTTTGTCAGGGACACCCATCAGCTTGGCCAAAAGCTTCTGGGAAGCGGACTGCAGTCTGAGACTCTTCCTACCCAAGCCCCTTCCCTCTCTGTCTCTTTCGCAGGCTCAGACCTGCCTCTGGGTCTGAAGCTCCCCTGCCTGCACCTGCCCCTCCCCTCCATCCTGCATGGGCTGACTCCCAGTCGCCCTTCCTCTAACGCCATAGAGACATGACATGCATCCCCAGGGAGCGTGTCTTACTCTCCAGCTGGCCACATTCCTTGGGCATAGAGTGACTCTGGCCTGGGAGCACCCAGTGGTGTTGGGGCAGCGGCTGTTCTAGGCAGCCTGCAGTGGGAGGCACAAAAGCCAGGCGGGTGCAGGGAAGGCCCTGAGGGTCAGGCTCCTTCCTGAAACCCATTCCCGGTCCTTGCTGCCTCCCTCCCCAGAGCCCGCAGACGAGGAGGCGCTTCCTTAGCTGTGCCACGCCAGCCCATGGGCATCGTGGGCATCGGTGAGAAGGCTCTCTGGGCAGCTCTCTGTGGTCACCAGTGCCGTCCCACCCAGGAGGATCCTGCAGCTCCATAACAGTCCCCGTGATGGCTTCCCCATGGTCCAGGCCATCCCAAGGTGGGCAGGAGAGCAGGACTAAACTGTGTGTCTCTCGTCGGCCCCCTGCCCTGGCTGCAGCCTCCACCCACTTCACAGACCTCGTCTGTTTTTCTGCTGGGATCCTTCACACAGGCCCAGTGACAGAACGTGAGGGGCCTGATGCAAAATGAAATAAAGTTGCCTCGTTCAAAAGCCCGGCAAAGTGCAGTTAAAGGTGCTGAAGATACAGCCCTCTTCCTCCCTCCCCCACGCGCTCCTGGCTGGCCACGGTGTTTACTTGCTCTTTAATGCCATTCTCAGCAAAGAAAAATTAAAACGTTAAGTTGCTAGCATGAATCTTGCTCTTCGTCTTTCTATGGTAGAATGCCAGTTTTAAATGCAGATAGAAGAGCTTTCAACTCAGACACCAAATCACTGAAATCATTCAGCTCAGATTTCGCAGCTCGTCCGTGTGTCTTCTGTTCTCAGCAGAACAATGGAGACCACGCACGACACTCACTCGCCCGCTTCTATGTCACTTCCTGATGCTGGCACCAACACTCAGCTTCTGCTTGCTGATGAGGAGGGAGAGAGGGAGGGAAGACGCCGGGTCTGCCTGCCTTTCCCTCCCCTTCCAGGCTCCCACTTCAGCGTAAGGGCTCGGCCAGTACGGGAAAGTAGAACGAGTAAGAAAAGACATGACGGGGTCCTGGCCTTCCTGTTCCTTAGGCCACCCCCGCCCTCTTCTGCGTGTGGAACAAGTTCTGGCTCAAATGTAAAGCGTGGCCTTTCTGGGTTGACTCGTGCCACGCCCCCTGGGCTGCAGGCATGACCCGCTCTAGCTGGCACTTGCGTGAGTCTTGCTGAACCCCAGGCCGGGGCACTGTGAACTCCATCCCGCCGGCACCACAAAACACAAAAGGTGAAATTATTAAGGCCCTCGGGCCAGGGCCAGCAGAGCACTAAGCCAAGAGCGGGCCGCCTGCTGGGACGCAGCTCCCAGACGCAGTGGCGGAGGCTGCCAGTTTCACCTCTTCCCTCCCTCCCTGTCTCTCTCTCCCCCCCCACCTTCTCCTTCATCCCTCCCCCCCCTTCCTGCTTTTCCTTCTTCTTTAAATCTCATAGTTTTTCTTTGAGCCCTTGATCATTTTTCAACCTCTAAACAGAAAATGACAAGCAGATCGGCCTGTGAAATGCTCTGGGGCTTCCCTCTGCCCTCCCTGCTCAGTTACTGCTTCCTGAGGTCAGAGTTCATGGACCCAGCACGGGAACAACACTCGAGCCCCACCCTCCGAGCCACTAGATCAAGAATTTCTCATATTGGTGCCCCCACAGCTGGACTGAGGACCCACCCCCACTGCCCTCTCTGCACACACTCCGAGGCAGGTGGGCAAGGGTAGAGTGGCATGTCTAGGAATGCTGGGCACCCCGGAGCAGGCTCTGCCCACCCCAAACAGATCACTAACGTGGAAGGAGTTTTCAAAGAGCAGCCACCTGGTGGGCCTGGGCCCCGGTAATTTCTCATTCTTTCAAACCTAAAAAATCTAGACTGCTCTTACATGACTTAAAATGACCCACAACTATGACAAGGAGGAGATGGGTGAGATTGTTTTTGTGAAGCCAGCATAACGCCGATGCCAAAACCCGGTGCAGAAATCCCAAAATGGAAACCCACAAACCAATTTCACAGCAATACGGATACGAAAATAACATAACACAGCCAGAGAGAAGTCAGCAGTACATGGGAATGATCCTGTGTGATGGCTAGATTCTTCTGGAGATTACAGTTGTGGCCCGGTATCAGGGATGGCGTGAATACAATCATCCATCCTAGGAAGTGACAAGATAAAAAGAAACGGGATGATTTTAGTAGATGTTGGAAAGGCATTTGACCAGAAAGCCAGTTATTTCTAGTTAAAAAGAAACAGCCAGAGCATCTGGGGAAAGACGGCTTCTGCCTTCACTTGAGGAGGGAGCGGCCGCGCAGGGTCTCGGGGAAAGAGCCCAGCCCAGGGCAGCAGGTGGCTTCATGGCCATCAGTTGCATGACTCTGGGCAGGTTCATGAGCCCCCTGTGCCCGTGACCTCTTCTGCAGGTCACAGGAATAAGAGCTTTACCAACCCCATGCAGCGGTGCTGAGGATCCGGTGAATTCCCACGTAACATGCAGAGACCAGGGCTGGCCACACCACGAGCCCTACATAAAGGGGAGCTGGGTTGGTGAAACAACAGAGAACGCCTGGCTGCAGTGAAGGGTGTGCAGTCTCGCCTCCATTTCATTTAGAAGTATCCACCCGTGCGATTAGAAAAGAGAAGAAAATAAGTGACATAAATTGTATTTGGTCTCTGCCCTCGGTCTCCGCCACTGCGCTCCTAAAATGCTTGTAATGTCCTAAGCGAAGGGGTCCTAGGGACCATCCTTTGTTCTAATATCTGCTTCCTAGACCAGATACGTGGTTCCGGGACCTCAGGTCATGACACGGGGCTCCTAAATCCCTTGGGCTTTCCTGGGGATAGGAGCATCTTTTGTTCTAATGAAGTGACTCTTGGGGGGTTCCTGGATACCTTCAGGATGGGGGCTGGTCACCAGAAAGATTAAGCCATATGTAAAATCTCGGAACTTTCAGTCCCCCCGCCACCCTCTGGGGAGGGGAGAGGCTGGCGACTGAGCAGCGGGTCAGGAGGCTGGTGTCCTCCTGCAATTTATGTGTTGGAGCTGAATCCCCAGTGTGACAGTCTGAAGAGGTGGGGCCCTTAGCAGGCAACTGAGTCACGAGGATGGAGCTCTCGCGCACAGAATTAGTGCCCTTGTTAAAGAGCTTCAGGAGCCCCTTCTGCCCTGCGCTCAGGGAGGACCCTCATGGAGGGCACCATCCGGGACGAACAGGCCCTCATCAGACACCATCTCTGCTGGCGCCTTGATCCTGGACTTCCCAGCCTCCAGAATGAGGAGCAATCAATTGCTGTTGTGTATCAATGATCCCATCTGAGGTGTTCTGTTTTAGCCGCCAGAACAGACCAGCACGGGAAGTCTTCACAAAAATCCCTGAAGGACAGGGTTTGCAGAGCTTCTGGGCTGGCGCACACACCCAACTCCACAGGAACAGAGGCTCCTGCACCCCGAGCCCGTCCAGCCCCTGCCCGTGTAGAGCCACAGCCCTAGGGTGTCCCCTGTGGCCCTGCTGAGGCGCTGGATCTGAGAAGTAAAGAGACAGGACACAGAAGGACTGGGGAAGACAGTCCGGCTCGGGGGCCACGCCACTTACAGGCAGAGACAGGCGAGGCCCGAACGTCCAGAAGCCTCTGCATTTATCAGGTGTAGGTCGGGGGGAAGGGTAGTGAGTAAGGCCACCTTTAAGCACAGCGATAGGGTCAAGACATTGATGTGAGTGATAAGCAAGGGGTCCACCCCATTAGGTCACCGAGGCAAGGAGGTGGGCCGTGCGCAGTGAAGAGGGTGCAATGTGCAGCATCTCTTGTCTAGAGGCAGCCTACTCCTAAGGGATTCTATAGGAGGATGCTTTGAGCAGCAACAGCGGACAAGTATACGGCCACCTACTGGCGGCTTCCAGTGATTTCTACAGGAGGAGGATCTGAGCAGAGCAGTAGCTGGAGAGCTGACGAGTTACACAGTCACCAGGCGTGGTTATACCGGAGCGGTTTTCAGCCCTCGGACGCTTGCGGGATTGCCGGTCTTCGGGCCGCCTTCCACAAGAACTGGAGCAGGGTCCCACAAGTCCTTTATCAGGAGGCGTGGCTCTTACTCCAAGCCTGCCACACAGCGGGTATCTTTACAATGCTCAACGCTGCCGCCTGGGCCATGGATTCTTGTCCTGGTGTAACTGCCTCTCCCTTGAAGCATGCTCTGCACCGTGTCTGCTCTGGGCATTCCTCAGACTATGGACTAAGACATCATTTTATATATATATATAGGGAAATAGCTGAGAAGTAAGATATTCTTCAGGCACTAATTCTGTAAACTAATATATGATTATATAAGGAAATGACTAGTAGTAACACTGTCACCTGAGACAGTCTTCAGACACGAATCGTGCCGGGATCCACTTAGCTCTCCTCCCTCGGTGCCCGGATGGGCGGCTCCCCACAGCCTGTGTCCCTCTCCAGGTGGCCGTTCACCTGTGTCCCTTCCAGGTCCTCTATCATCATCCAGTACATGCAAGTGTTTCTCTGAATTCTGTGGCCTGTCAGGAAATTGCTGAGCCTGAGGAGAGGGTCCTGAAGCCTCTGATTTGCAGCCAAGGTGAACACAGGTGTGGGTAACCTGGGACCCACTACTTGCCTCCCTCCCTCCCTCCCTTCCTTTCTTTCTTTTTTTTTTTTTTTTTTTTTGAGGCAGAGTTTCTCTCTTGCTGCGCAGGCTGGAGTGCAGTGGCACAATATCGGCTCACCGCAACCTCTGCCTCCCAGGTTCAAGTGATTCTCCTGCCTCAGTCTCCTGAGTAGCTGGGATTACAGGCACGCACCACCATGCCTGGCTAATTTTGTATTTTTAGTAGAGATGGGGTTTCACCCCGTGTGAGTCAGGCTGGTCTCGAACTCCCGACCTCAGGTGATACGCCTGCCTCAGCCTCCCAAAGTGCTGGGATTGCAGGTGTGAGCCACCGTGCCTGGCCAGACGGGCATCTGAAGTGGGGCGGTCTTGACAGGCGAAGTCCTTAACCGGTGGGTTCCCCACTAATTCCTGGTAATTAGTGTCATCACTGAATTACAGGACACCCAGCTGGTGTGAGAAGAGTTGGATAACTGGACGGTGTGGGGAAAATCACCATCACACTTGGTATCAGAAGTGTTCAGGACAGGGAAGAAACAGCTGATTTTTTCTATTTAAATAGAAGGTTAAAATATTGGAATGGAAGAAACAAAATTATGATTTGTAGATGATATCATCTATCTCGAAAACTTAAGGGATGCGTGACAAGCTATAGGGAACAGTAAGTTAGGAGCTGGCATTATTAAAAAGTTAAAAAAAAAAAAAAAGTAGATGTTGGCACGGACGTGGTGAAAGGGAACGCTTTACCCATGGCTGACGGGAATGCAAATCGGTGCAACCACTGTGGGAAACAGAATGGAGAATTCTCAGAGAGCGAAAGGCAGAACTACCGTTCAACCCGGCAATCCCGCCGCAGGATGGCTGCTCAAAAGGAAGTCATTACATAGCTTAGAAAACAACACTAGCAAGACACACGTTTATCGCAGCACAAATCACAATTCCAAAGATAAGGAGCCAACCTGAGTGCCCATCGGCTCACGAGAGGACGAAGAACGTGTGGTACGCATACACCACGGAACCGTTCTCAACCAGAAAACACACAGAATGATGTCTCTGCAGCTACTTGGATGGAACTGGAGGCCATTTACCCGGAGGGAAGTCCTTCGGGAATGGAAAACCGGTACCGTATGTTCTCACTTCTAAGCGGAAGCTCAGCTGTGGGTACACGGAGGCATACCAAGTGCTGTAAAGGGCACTGGAGACCGGGAAGCGGGGAGGGCGACAGTCAGGCACGGGATGAAGACCATGAATGGGACACA